AGAATAATAAGAGGGAGAGAAAGAAGGTTTACCGGAAAACTTTAATGCCCTAAGCAAACATTCGGGGTCAAGGCGCCTACATCTTGTGTTAACAACCTACCGTCACAAGCAACTGGCTGCCGTACACTTCAACTAGGAGACTGCAGCAGACGCGCCACTGGTGTCGACTGCGAGCCATGTCCTGTAAAGTATCGAGTCAACCCCAAGGCCAGTCACGTGGAATCCAGCACGGAAGGCCAGACGGACCGACAGCACCTAGTTTGGTCGTCACTGACTTCGTTTCACGCTGTCAAATCAACTTTTGTCCACCTCGAGCCTTGCGCCACCCTACATCTGGCAGACTAAACAAGGCCTTCTTAGGTAAGCGGTGACCAGGCATACGTAGCACGTGACCAAGCCAACGCAACACAACCAGTGCTATCTGTTGTTCTAAGGAACTAGCTTTGTTATCACTGCTTGGTACTCGCCTACACACATCATCGTTGCGGAGATGTTGGTGCCACTCGGCAACCATGATCAAAGAATTGAAGGCACCTCAGATCTTCAGACCGAAGGGGCCAAGTCATACTCACGTAGCGCAGGACGACCTTCGCTGTGGCCTAACAAACACGGTCTTTCAGACGGAGGGAGACTCCCATTTGTCACCAAAGATGCCACAGATTCAAGAAGACAGTTCTGGCCTTTGCAGTGCGTGAGCCAACTTTGCTTTCTTTGCGCCCATCGTTACTGATGCATCTGCCAAGGTAAGTGAATGGATCAACCACCTCGAGTTCCTCGTTATCAAGGGGTCATCAATTGCCTGGTGGACCTGCAGCAAGACTTTGAAGATGCGAAGGGCATACCAAATAACGCGTCCACTCTAGAGTGGCTATTCAGGGTTGATTGTGCCGCCGCAACACCGTCAAAAAGCAAGAAATTACGTCCGCATAATCAAAACCAAGTAGCCTTTCACCAAGCGAGACCTCAACTCCTGCGTCGTGAGATTCCGTAAGGGAACACTTCACGATGAAGTCCGTGACGAAATTGAACAAAAACGGGGAAATCGGACAACGCTGACGAACGGTACTTGTTGTCGAAAAGTCAAATCGCCGTACACCCTGATGCGGTCCGAGTACAGAGCACGTAAAATGTTCGTGTATTTCATGGGAACACCTTTCCGCTCAAGTATTTCGAACAGAATGGATCGATCGACTGAGTCGAACCCACTCTTGAAACCGAGGAACACAGCTATTGTCGGCCTGCGGTACATGTGGCGCTTCCCTACTACCTACCGCAAGGTGAATATGTGGTCCATACAGTTTCGTCCTGGGCGGAAGCCTTCCTGCTCTTCCTTAATCCGTGATTCTTGCTCCACAGTGAAGCGACGAACGATAATTGAGGCCAGTAATTTTTTCACCATCGGCATTAGGCTAATACCCATGTGATTAGCACAGTCGGTGCGACTGCCCTTTTTGTAATGCCACTATAATTGATTCACTCCAGTTGGCCGAGATGGACTCTACTTTCGATGACTGTTCGAAGATGGATGCCGGTGCTTTGCAGAGGACCTCACCACCATCCTTAACTAGTGCAGGCCAACAGTAGTCCTGCCAACAACTGACTGTCGAATCGCTGGTCAATAGCTATGTCTTTACAACATTCGTATCCGTATTGAATCTGAACCGGTTCGAACGTTTCCTTCCTACTCTAAAACTGTATCGACCTGCCTCCAGTGTACAACTTTCGTCATGTGCTATTTCCAGTGAAGATCCAGACCGACTGTTATGTGGCGCGAAGAAAGTTACCTGTGCAACGCCGCTTACGATGTTCCCCCACCTCTACCAATGTCGATTTTGAAGAGCAGGACCACGCAGCTCGTGACATCCAGGTCCACACCCGTTCGGTTCGACGTTCTTTGCATTCAGCTATCCTCATCTAACCTTCATGCCCCATTGTTAAACCACCTTGTCTTCAAAAGGTCCCGTTGTTACGACCTACCTCGCTTCATAGTACCTCGAGTTACCTGTTTTCATGCTTTCTCCTCTCTGTGTACTCCGGCTGACTGGTGGTTGTGTGAATCCGGTCATCGACCATGCACTGATTACCAGTTCTTGGGTTGGTTGCGGTACTCTGGCCATCTTCACTCAGACGATGGGTTACAAAGACTTTGTGACCGACCACAGTTTCCCCTACAGCGGACTCTTGGAGTCTGTGCATGGGTCGCTGACACCGGCTGCGTCTGCATCATTCCGCTTCTAACAGGGCTGATCGGCTTAAATAAATAAACGCACCGAAACCCCTCTCCCTGAACTTGTAATGGGTTATGTAATCAACGGGTTATCGAGTCGAATCTGCATAGGTGCGGGCGACGTCGCGCGACTGGTGCTAATCGTGTGGCGGCGAAGCGTCGGCGCGACGTGCTACTGACGCATGTACTTCATTCATTTGAGATATGTGAACGGCAATCATTGTCGCGCAGGTTTTCAGACAGAACAGACGCTCTACTTCGGTCAACACAGATCAACTGCAATACCACCGGTTGTTTGTAGCCTACATCCAATTACAGTGTAGATGCTGGTTCTGTTTGGCCCTTCGTTTCATTCCCGAAGGTTCCGTGAGCCGAATTCCCTTGGCTAGTTGATGTTCGGTATTTACTGTCGCACAAGCGAATCATCCCGTTTCTCTAAACTGTGGAAGCGGCAGCGCTGCATTGCCTCTAACACCTTAGGCCAATTGGTCATCGTTGACACAACTCATAAGACTGTGGTTATTGGTGTGATATTTCTTTGATGATGTTCCAACAGATCTGACTTTTCTCAACCATTGCGGTCACGGACCACCAGTGTGGTTGATAAATGCTTCGTTCTTATTCAACTCCCGTGATTTACCAATTATCACCGCTTAAGTTGCATATGTTCTCTCAGTGTTTGCTAACAAAACCGTTTGCGCTCATTAGCATCGTTAATTGCTTTATTGCTTGCATCAACAATATAACTGGTTCTCTCGCATTTTGTAGATTGTGTTATATCACTCTGGTTATATATTTTCCTTTTGGAAATAGAGAAGCAAAGATATTCTATAATTTGCATCAAATCGGAAACTTGTCCTTACTAGTATTTGTTATTGGCCCTCTCGAAGCTAAAACTTGTTAATGAGCCTTTACGGTTATATGAGCAATTTAGTGAAACTTAATGTTTTGTTTGTGTTCCATTCTGCCATACAGCGGTATCTGTTCATTGAGGCTGTCGGGAGGGGGCAGGACATTCGAAATCTGTGCTTCGGTGGTATCCCGTGTTTTTGCTCGTGATTCGCAAAGGAAGTTGTCCAACTTTGTTGCACACACACAAGGTCTATCCGACTACTCGTTCGACCAAACATTTCCGTTCGAAGCTCAGCATTGAACCTAGCTGATCGGTTTTAGATTTTCGTTTATGCATCTCCACAGGTTGCGGAGACAAGTACTTTGATCAGATTTTCAGGTGAACAAGTAGCACTCGACAGGATACTTTTTCGCCTTTTCCATCCAATGCTCGATTTAATGACTCCGAAATTTCAGTAACGATGAGGGTCACTAGGTGGTCATCAATGAAACGCCCCCATTATTCAACGCTACTAGGAAGAACCATCGTTTCTCATTGATAAAATGCAGTCCTGAAGGTTTCTTTTTCGAACGTCGATTCGCCGCTAAGCAATAAATAGTAGTTTGAGAGCAAAAACCAACAAACTGTTTTCTATTGTTTTTGAAGCCCTCCATTTTAGATTTCAACGCATAATAAGCACCCCAGTTGAGTTGCTCGTTTTGTTTCCGGTTCCCGCCATGTGGTATTTATGACCGTATTACCACCATCATTACCGGTTAATAGCCACAACAAAGCCCGGGTGCGATGCTTCTCTGTGCTACTATCGTTTATTTTATTTCCTGTACCTTTGTACTTTTTACTCAGTCACGTCAGTGTTTGGCAGCTGTTCGGGAGAATTTCTAATCAATACTATCTTACATAACTGTTGTGCGGACCAACCACGTCCTCTGCTAAGTCCATAACTTGCATGATAATAAAAAATGAGTCGGAATGGAAATATTTGTGTGTTGCTTCTCCCAACACTGGCACATCCCGATCGCGGTTTGGTCCTGGTTTGGACTCATCAGGTGGCGATAGCTTGAGTTGGAGTGGAACTCAGAGCCTAGTAGTTCACGGCTGACGCCCTGAACACTATGATACTGAGATCCGCGAGCAACGCTTGTCAATTCAAAGTTGAATTTAGAGAACACGCAGCTTGGTTGAGTTGCGACTCGCAACCTCTATTGAGACCTCAGATCACTTTGAGATAATCCTCGGTCTTTCCGATCGCGAGGACCGGATCCGGAAGGGAAATATTTGGGTGTTGCTCTTTCCAACACTGGCACACCACGACCGCGGTTCCGTCCAGATTTGGATTCGATCGGAATGACTGAGGTTTAGCTCAAAGTGAACGGAGGTCTCAATAGAGGTTGCGTGTCGCAACCCAACCACACAGCGGGTTCCCCAAATTCAACTTTAAAAAGATGAGTCTCTTTATATCGCAGCTGGTAATCATCCAAAGTTCCGGTGGCATAGGCACCTCCATCGAGTGATCATGGGCTCGTTTCCTGGTAGATCCGGGGTATATGCGCTATTGACGGGTTTCGATAGGACAAAATGACCGTCTGTTGCTTCTGCAGATGCATGGAAATGACTACGATTAGCCATCTACAACGTACACAAGTCCACTATTCAAATGGTCCTTTGTTTCCTCCCCCCATTTCTCCCAACTTTCATTACTTGTTCTTATTCAGATGGCGATATAATTCATCTCTCTATTACATTCGGGTCCCTCGCACTTTCGTTGTGGAGTCATGGCTATCCAGTTGAACACGGATTCTGTACCTCACGTGTTTTATTACTTGTTCGTGGCATATAGTTGCATGACTATCAAAATTTCCACAGTGTTAGAAAGTCTGTGAAACATTTATCCCATTTTGTCTGCATTTTCCCTTTCGTTAGAGTCCCACATGATATCACCGAAGTTGGTTTCCCCCACACCTGCGCGAGCGAAGTGCCCTGCCTTGGTTCATCAGTAGTTACAAGTACTGCCTTGGATACGGTTACATTCGCCCCTTCAGGACTCTTAGGGTGCTCAGAATTCGTTTCTAATCCGCTTTTGAAAGATCCAATCTCCATATCACCGTCGCCTCACCAGGGCATGTACACCGAACTCGCCATTGAAACGTCTAGACATGGCGAGTCATATCACCAGGGTTGCTTGGCATCACCAACCTCACAGGCATTCCTCTACGAGCTGCCGCAGATCACTCAGACTATGCGTCTCTCCATGTTGATGCATGAAACCCGAGACCAGCCAGAGCGTTCAGAACACCCACCAGCAGCCTCGGAGTCCCTCATAACCGAGCGCCTGCACGATCAAATGAAACACGATTCGAACGCTATTGATGCATACACCAAAGATCTTTCGGATGCGTTGTACGATCAGCCTTCTTTGGTTCGCTCGCTTCACCCCTATTGCGTGATCACGTCCACTTTGGAACATGACCACGAGTCCGCTGGTATTAGACAACACCCGGCAAACACGACGACGTTGTCAAACTTTGCGGTCACTTACAGACCCTGGGTGCCCATCACTTCTCTTTCAAGAAATGAGCTTTTAGACGAGCTCGGAGTGAGTCGGTGTGCATTTTTTTGTCCATTTCCCCTATCATCTCTCTGTCGCTTCGATAACTCAATTTCTCACCACATTCAAAGCTGGCTGTAACTTTGCATTTTCTTTGAGGTCCTTTTTCTTGCTACAAAGCTCACAGTGTTTGACCAATTTAAGTTTGTTCACTCGTGAGTGCATCGGGAAGTTTCGAGAAGATGCCTCATGATGAATACGCTATGCGTCACCGAGTTCTCGATCTCCCCCCCCCCCCAACTTGGAATGATCCGCAAAGCACACCGTGAAATCTTGACTTTACCACGTGATCGACTTACTTCGTAGTCGTATGGTCACATTTGTCAAAAGGCTCCAGTTTACCTTGAATTTCCTCATGGGTGGACAACACAACTCCAAATTCATGAAGGTCTAAGGCATGCGGTGATTCGTCAATACATAGGCAATATCAGTTGAGTCACGGAAGGGAAAACAATTATGAGCCGTATAATTGAATATTTTCAGGGGACCAGAACTACGATCAAATATCCCTCCAACCACACAGCCTGTCACAGCGGGAATGAATCCTAATCTCTTAGTATGTTGGTTGGCGTTGTTTGCTTGGGGATGGCGTATCAGAGAACTTTACGATCTGCGCCCACCAAATTGGTCACGTGCTGGGACTCGGATAGAATCATGTTTTTTCCTTCAAGTGTCAGATTGAAACTATCTGTTGCTCTGTGTTTCGGCCTTTGAGCTAACGGATTTGGTTGAGAATCCCAACTTTTCACCTGGCAGAGTACCGCATGCCACATGCAGCCGTATAATAACAAACGAATATTTAGGACACCACACAAACGTGAGAAAAACTGTGGTTTAGGATGAAATATTCGTACGAAACCCAGCCGCCGGCTTGTAGCTTTAAGGATCATAGACCTGTGAACCTAGCGTTCCTCACAGTACCCTTGGCCTACGTGCGACCGATGATAGTTGCGTGGCAACAAAGTGTACTGCTGATGCCCTGAACACTGCTTAAATTTAGGCGACATTCTAGGGAATTCGATGCGATCTGTACCACCCACACATCCTTATCGACCGTGTTGGAGGAATTTCAGTGCCGGTAGAACTTCAAGTTTATCGATGACACGTTACCTCGTTCACCCAGTTGCTCTTTGAGGATAAACTCTGCGGTAGCTCAGTAGAACATCTCCATCAAACCAGTTGGGTAGGGCTCTTAGTTTTCCTGTCGACCGCTTGTCTCGGTGATCAGTTTGTTGCGTGAATATATTGGTCAGGCTGAAGCGTTTCCTTTTTTCTTGGGAGGAACCTCGAAGTTGGCAGCACCGGCATTTAACTTTTGGGGCCTGTAGTGGTGGCTGGAAGGTCGAAAATACTAAATAGGTAAGTAGGACAGTGTGAGCATCGCGGATCGGATATCGTCAATGTGTAATTCAATGGTGCAAACAAGTTAACACGATCACATAGGTTCGCACCGACGGTAGACGATTAGCCCAAGCTTGCAACCGCAATAAGCTCTTATAAGGCGTTAGTGGTCGAACAGCATCCGGCGAACTAACTGAACGTTCCATTTACGAAAACAGTTACGACTGGTTTCACATTATAAATGAGAGGTCGTTTTCTTGTTAATCGTTTTTACCTGAAGCCTGGCACCTGTTATCCCTTTGGGGAGGCCATCTTACAAAGCGGCTTAGAAGTTGGTGTTGTCTATGTATTCCGTGCTCCACCTGCTGGCTATCAGTCCCCATCTATTTGCTTAACAGGACTGCCCTTTTCGGATCTTCTCTCCGTTAGGCTTACCCCTTCTCCTGGATCGTTTTCCTACCTCAGTCAATGCGATTATCATCATTGACGTGCGGACGCGAATCATGGTCACTGGCTTTCCATTTTCTACGTATCGATCGTTGAGTTTTCTATGAGGCCACTTGTCCTCAAGGTTCTTATAAAGAGATATCTTTTGACTGTGTTTTTTGACCGAGGCGTGGGCTAGTACAGCCATGCGGATAGAAGTAAATCCTATGGGAACTTCGTTGAAACAGAACGGGATTCTCTCTTTGCAAACTCTTGCATCTTACACGGAGACGCATGAGATAGAAGGCTTAGATCGCGTACTACATACTGAAATGTTGGGCGTAAGTAGGTGAATTGTAAGATAATTAGTCTCCATTTCACAACCTACACTATTAATGTGGTTGATATTGTACTTGTTGAACATCATCACTGTAATTGGTCCGTCCGCACGCGTGCTTGCGTGTTGAGTTTCTTGCATTTCAGATGTTGGTTGTTGATTGATATCCCCCGTGTGGCTGCACTTGATGTGAATGTTCACAAGGTGCATACCTGTCTAGCACCCTCCACATAGCTTACTGACTCCAGAAGACTGTGAGTCGTTGCTGGGGGATGGGGTGCACGATCCTCGTGGTGGTGGTTCCATCCATTGTGGAGAGGATTACGGCCGAGCCACCGCCTTATGTACGTCTGGTACTCGTGATTCCCTACATAAATAGACAGGAATGCTGCTGATGTGCATGTTGAAGGTGTGTGGGTCGGCTCCGTTGATGAAACGTGGCTCCCATCCACATACTTCCCGGTCTTATTCCTTCGGGTTTACATTAGATATGGAGTATGTGGATGGTGTAGCGCGAGCCACACATGGTTTCTCAGTAGGCACAGGCGTCCTGTGATTGTCCTCATGGAGGTCGCAGTGACAGGCTGCACTGGAATCGGATGCCGTCAACCAATTCCTGACCGCAATTTGAGAAGCACGGTAATATGACGAACGTTTTTAAAAGCATGTGTTTCATTGACCAGCCAATACAAAGTGTCTTTCGCTCCTAGTTTTTTTAATGCTCAGTGGCCTCGATGTTCTTTAAGCATCATGATGTGTGTGGTGATGACATAGCCTAGGAGAGGAAGAAGAATTAATAGAAGAAAAATTAATATTCGTTGCTCGCGTTTCCGATAGAAGTCCGAACGCCACCTGCAGCGTTTTTACATCGACCAGGCAGTTTTCGCGGGTTCAGGTGCCCATGTGATCCACGAGTTTAGCAGTTGGGACGCAAACATATCAGCAGACGGCGTCCTTTATGAATGTCGTGTACCCTGATTGGTTGCTGCTCATTGCAGTGGTCGATGAGATTTGGGCAGTTTCTTTTGGCCACAGGATTGTTGTTGAGCTTATGCATGGCCTAAAGACGTTCCTTCGATAAAGTAGATGCGTAGTTGTTCCATCTCTTGTATCCCCTTCACGTCGCAAGCTTGCGCTGCCGCAAGCGTCGTCGTTCAGTTTAATCTAATTCTTTCTAGTTCTGCGAGTGCAGCTTCGTTAGAGAAATGTCTGGCGCTTGTGCTCAATCATGTTATATACTCGTGCTGTGCACAACCATTTTATTGCTTCGTGACGCTTATGAGAAGCACTTGACTATGCTGGTTCCACTGTCGGAACTCCGTTTTCCCGTCGCCATCACCTGGCTTCGATTCGATCGATTAGCGTGCTTTTCAAGTAAAGATCTGATTGGATTGTATTGCTACGTTTAGCACTAACACATTAAGATACACCGGTTCATTTCTGGTGGTGCGATTCCGTCTCTCATATCTGGTGGGGGCACCGCGTGCGCAATGAGCATGTTCGACGTCACGTATTTGGCGCAGAAAGAGTGAGTGAACCACTCAGCACCACTATAACGTGCAACAGGCTCCGATGGCTGCGCCACATGTTGCGAATGCCAGCACACCGACTCCCGCGACGTGTGTTGTTTGCACACGGGGGTGTGGATGGAAAAAGAGGAAATGAGGCCAAGCGATGATTTGCTCAAGAGGAATGAAGTTGGCGTCGGTTGGTATGTCCCAACTATCTGGAGGTCTGGTTGGATACACTAGTCGACATGTCGAAGAGCCGACTTCAATGGCGTTTGTGTTGTGAGTCTGTTTGTCCCTCCCATCCGCTTTAGATTCCCCTTTTAAACAACCTTCTCATACCCAATGCACAACATGATGTTTAGTACTGTTAATTTTTTTTAACTTTTGTAGTCTGTAATCTCCTATCTTTTTTGGTATTGCGGCACATCAGGTGAAACGTCTCTAACGTGTATTGGTGTTGGCGACGATAGTGATGTGCGATTCCGTGTGTGATCTGTGCTCAGACGTGTAAGGGCCTCGAACACAGCTCTCCCATGACAGTTTCAATCCAATCATGCTTAATCAACTGTCCGCGAATGGTGTTCAACCAGCTGTATGCAACCTAATTAGCAGCCGTTTCTCAGTTCGCCTTCATTCCACCCAGGTGAACCGTAAAAGTCCTCCACTCTTCGTGATAAATAGAACATTCTAAGGAGAGCAGTCCTCTTCTGTTTATATTCCCTTTAAGCATCCAAACGCTCCGAATTCCTCCCAGCTTGATTGGATGTAAGTGCACTGACGACATAGTTAAGTGGTCAACGCCTCGGTTGTCTTTATCCTGATCCCCTATTCTCAACGCTTCTAAATGCTCAGCTGTTGTGGAGTTCTCCGAGCTGGGCAACTTGGTTGCAAACGTTTCGCCGCCATTCGAGGTGGCATCTTCAGTGCGGGATTGATAGCAGTTAAGTAGCAGTAGCTGGTATAAAGCAAAACCCAATAATGGATCCATTATTGGGTTTTGCTTTATACCAGCTACTGCTACTTAACTGCTATCAATCCCGCACTGAAGATGCCACCTCGAATGGCGGCGAAACGTTTGCAACCAAGTTGCCCAGCTCGGAGAACTCCACAATAACTGAGCAAGCCTCCCGAGCTACCAATATTCCGACTCATTTCGAGCTTCTAAATGCTGTGATGCAACTTCCCTCTCCTCCGAACTTAAAAACATTGAGAAATTATTCGCGCTTCTGTTTACGATCGACCACATCATAACCAATCCTATCCACTTTCAAGTATCTTGGTGCATTTTTATCACATAATCTACCATAGTCAACACACGGTAACGATAAGTTCAGCTAGGTGATACCATCGTTTTGTACCCTTGATACTCTTACGGTATTTACCCATTTTACCTGTCGGCTCCAAAAAAATTATCAATACCATACGTGAAGGTTTACTTAAGTGATGATGTACATGCATTTTATTTTTTTACTTGCTGCTTATGATTTTACGTCAATTTTATACACACATGTGTTAGGGTAAATATTGAACATGTTCCCCATCGGATGCAGAAAACTAATTATTTTGACTTGAATTGCGCTTCCATCTTTATGTTTTGGCAGCTGAAGGAAATTGATTCTCTGTTCTGCAACAAATCAAGCTATCCAACTGAAGATCATATCTCTAGGGAGCACAGTTGGCCCGAGATTGCATCAGACACGGTGAACTTTTATACTGAGTTGGCGGCCAGCGAAATTGGCAGCCAAAACATTTTCCATGCCAACCTATTTTATCCATGTTTATCGAACTTTTGAGCACTCAAAGAGATTTTTTGCAGTTTCTTCTTCCTTCCACTTTTGAAACTATGATGTTGACACCCCGAGCCAACTGTTAACGTGAGCCAATTTCACCCGCTTTATGACGCCCTCACCATCCTATCGCAGTTGGGAATCAGATATCTCTATACACCAGAACGCCTTCTTTTTACTTGAAACTCGGCTTGTTGTTCTGTCGGGCAGTACCGTAATAATTAACCTTTCGGGACACCGGGACCCGTAGGCTTTGATGCTGCTTTTCAGGTTGGCCTGCACGGTTCTGAACAGGCATTTTTACCAAACCTCCAAGATCAAGCGGTGTTCTCTCCCATTAATGAAGAAGTACAGGGCTTGCCTCCGCAGCTACGGTAGGGGCACATTACCCCCACCGTACGAGGGGTGTTCAAAAATTAACTGAAAGTTTGCTATGACGTTGCACAACATTTTATGCACTTTCCCCCTCAAAACAGTCGTCTCCACTAGCAATACACCCTTTCCAGCGGTGCATCCATTTTTGTAAAGCTTTCTGGGATGGCGCGCAGTTCTCTTGTCGCATTGTCCTGAATCTCCTCTGTGTTTTGGAAACGACGTCCTTTTAACATGGTTTTAGATGTGAGAAACAGGAAAAAGTCTGCAGGGGCTGGGTCCGGAGAATACGGTGGACGAGGCACAACGGGAGTGTTATGTTGTTCTAGATAGCTGCGGACAAGGAGCGATGTGTGGGCCGGCGTACTGTCATGATGCAACATCGAAGTCTGGTTTTCCCCTAGTTCAGGCCTGCGCAAAGCATCCCACAAACGTGTTTGAATTTGATGACATGATCCTACGCTGATAGCCACGGATCACAGCATGAACTTTCCCGACATTGTCATCGTCTGTTGAGGTGAAAGGTCGTCTAAAGTTGGGATCAGCATCGGTCGACATTCTGCCGTGTTCAAAACACTTAGAGCGCTGCGTGCGACTCATACAGACCTCCCCGTGCTTGGCTAAGCAATTGAACTGTCTACAAAAGTTTTGCCACGTTTGTAGTAAAATTTCACACACACGTGTTGTTCTTCAAGTGCGCTTGTGACGCTACTTATATCGGCCGAACGGCACGGCACTTGTCCAAACGCGTGAAGTAACACTGCCCACGCTGGTTGCGTCAAGGAAGAACTGCGCAGCGCCGTTTTGGCCCATATTGTCGACGCTGGGCACCAAGTTGATCTAAAGCGTGCCTTCTGGATAATTTACAGGGTCCCCCAGCATCAATCCAGAGGTCTGCGCCTCCGTGCACTCGCGACAGCTGAATCCATTTGCAGCAGGTCGTTTCAACCTTTATGCTCGCAAAAGAAGTTGGTCCATGCCCTACAACTTCCCTAACCAGCTAGTATGAACGATGCTGACATCGACTGCCATAGATCAAGCTCGGTACCATACAATCGACCTGTCAGGTCAAAGGTCAACTTTTAGCCTCCCTCATTGAACCGCTAATGAACTGTGTAATTTGAGCCAATGGGTCGATTTTAGTTCCGTTTACCCTTAAATATGATTTTATAGGTCTGAAGAGAATCATCGAAAACAACTGTTCACCTATGGTCTCCTGTTTTCTTTTTCATTGTCTCTGGCACTAATCCGACAAACAGCTTGTGCACGTTCTCACTTCAGCGGCTATAGCTCCCCAACCAACAGTCAGAGCGAAATGCGGCAAATGGCAGCTTGTTGTCTAAACAAGCCTGCACATGCGCTCAGTAGCCGCAGCGCGCTCCCTCTGCCGGTTGTCGCGCGATTTCAAAAGTTCGGTTGCTTTTGGTACACCCCTCGTATGTATGCGCATACGACAACCTGTAATTGCGCTCCCAGGTGACCTGCAAGTTATCACTGTCCTCTGTGGCACGGTGGCATAAGCTGCCCTATAGTTGGCGCAAGCCGTTGGCGGTCACTAATCCGGTCCCGTAAGTGGTCCGAGTGAATGCGCACCACTGATGAGCCCCGATAGGGCGAAACGGCCTCCAGGTGCTTTTCTGGATTGGTGGTTAAAGTATTTGGCGTGTGATTTGTTGGGACGAATATAGTAAAAGTTTCGGAGGTGTCAGTGATCTCATGGATGCGTTCGGCCAAAAGCGCTTCTATATTAACACTGGGAAGCTAGTTGCATTCTGTACTGTAGTTATAAGGTCATTACAGAGTAATCCTATCTCCCGTGTCTTGTGCGTTTTGTTCATTGCGCGAGTGGACTACATTGACTGCGACAGCATCCGTTTCCTCTATCTCATTTAGATGTTCGGTACCAGCCAGCGGCACTTGTCAGGAACGAATTTACAACATAACAGACGGTCGAGTCTTGAAATGAACACGAAAACCGTGATATACTTAATGTAAAATTGGCAGCGAACCAGTAGCTTTGTTAGATGGATTAAAACATATATGCCACGAAGCACAACGCTTGACGTTTTCCGCACACGATCATGCAAAGCTTCTTCAGTTCACGACTAGCTAGTGGTCACCGAAAGAGAATGATCTGATTGCTTACCAGATACGATTGTCTGAACGGGCGCCTCGCAGTCGTGCGGCTAAGAGCTGATTATTGCAATCAGAGAGGGGGGTTTCGAGAATCTGGACACCCCATAGTCGCTCAGCTGTATTCGTTTACTACAAGCATACGGCGGTGCGTGAGACTTCCAATCCACCTAAGCGATCGTCGCGGATTTGGTGGATAAGCACCAGCACCTGGTTGAACATCCGCCAAGAGTTTCTAGCTATGCATCAAACTGACAGCCAGTTTCTTATATGTCGCGGTGCGGTACTTTCTACAAGCTATCTTGAGCGACATGCTTCTTCAAAGAGAAACCAGAGTCAACTGGTCACGGAGACTGGTGTGGCAACCATGTGAGCAAGATCGATTGGTTCAAGCTCATTGGTTGGCTTGCTGACTCATTACTATTGGTTGTGTGCGTCTGTCGCTTGACTCTCCGTTTAACAAGGGATTGACTCAGATGTACATGGTTAATTTTGCGAGATACATTTTACCTTCCCTACGGCTTTCTTGATACAACAACTGGTATGTGAGAGACTTGTTAAGTTGATCAATTATGGTTCATGTCATTAACGCAGAAGGAAGATAAATGCGCAGCATGTTATCATCATCATACACGTTAGCCAGAGGTGGGGAACACCTCAGCTACTGTGCCGCAATATATAGAAAAAAAGGAGAAAAAAGCAAGTGGTGCAAGCCGGCTGAGCTACCGGTAACGGATGGGCAACATTCCGGTAAGCTACCTGCCGGCTACTGTGTATAAAAAAAATTACTATGCAAAATTATATAAGGCTAAATAATGAGATCCTGGTTGAAGGGGGAGGCTGAGAGGGATGGGGTGGGACAAAGAAACTCACAGCACGAACGCCACTAAGGTCGGCTCCTAGCCATGTCAGCAAGTGTGTCCAACCAAACGTGTTCAATCTTTCTGACCCCAACCAGGGAGCCGAGACGCTCCAACTGAGGGCCTTCATTCCTCTCGACCAAGTCATCGCTTGGCCACTCCTCCTCTTCTTCCATCCACACCCCAGGCACGCAAACAACGCATGTCGCGGGAGTCGGTGGGCTGGCATGCGTAACACGTGGCCCAGCCATCGGAACTTGGTGCGTGAAATAACGGTGCTGAGCGGTTCAGTTCTTTTTCCTGTGCCGTAAACAAGGCGTCGAACACGCTCGTTGCTCACGCGGTGTTCCCACCAGATGTGAGCTAAATTGCGAACGCACCGGTGGTCGAACGTAACTCGCATCTTCAGGTCCGTTGCTTTAAGGGGCCAGGTTTCACAACCGTACGGTAGGGTCGAACGTACTGCTGCATTGTACACTCGACCCTTCAGGGCGAGAGTAATGTCACGCCGCCGCCATAAGTTGCGAAGGTTAGCAAAAGCACCCCGAGCTTCTGCTATACGGTTTGTGATCTCTTCCTCAATCCCAAGGGCGCCGATACAACTTCCCAGGTGGTTGAATTTTTGAACAACTTCTAGCTGATCCCCACCAACGGTCAGCGAAGGAAGCGGTTCACGCCAATGTTGGAGGAACGCTTTGCACTTCGAGGGTGCGAAGCAAAGCCCGAAGTGACGGACAGCTAGTGCTAATGTGTACAGTGCCACGTGGAACGTCTGGGAGCTATCACAGATTAGGGCAATATCATCAGCATACTCTAATTCAAGAAGTCGTTCTCCCGGGAACAGATTCACACCTTCTAAGTCGTGTCCTGTGAACGCGATTTCCATGACTTCGTCAACAGCAAAGTTGAAGAGGAAAGGTGACAGCGGGCATCCTTGTCTCACGCCGCTGAGATATTAAAGGGCGACGACAACTTGCCGTAAGCCCTCACTCTGCCCGAGCTACGCGCATATAATGCTCGGATAATATTCACATATTTCTCAGGTACACCTTTCCTGAGTAGACAGTCCCAAAGTGCATGTCTACGTATGTTTACATTTCCATTGCTCTCGCGAGTCGCGGACGCAATACGTACGAGAAACCCCGTTCATGAACAAAAACAAGTAGGATAATCAGGACCACGGCAGTCTAACTGACCGCCTCAATTGCTTTCATGCGCAAAGTGCTAGACCATTCTTCATGATCAACAGCTCTTCGTCAATTACAAGCCGTTTCGTAGTACTATCACGCAGTATTTCGAAAGCGTCAAAATGCGGTAGTTCCCGTCTGTGTTAGTCTGCATCTCCAAATAAAACTAGATGATAGAGATAAAGCATCATAATTTTTAGGAGACGCACACTCTAACGAGATCAGTTGGATGCATCGTCCAGCTATCTGGCTCGAAGGTGATTCGCTTCTCTCATGGCCGTGACCTTGGTTCAACTAATGAGTTTGCTACATTTACAGTTTCAAGGCCATTGTGTAGGAATTTATGATCGAATGAGATCGTACCCTATATACCTCGTTTGTCTGCTCGCAAAGGAGTGTTCCTTGTTGACGTCTCTGGACTTCTGTTTTCAGAGTAGACGGAAAATTAAAACATCTAAATGGAAAACAATGAAACCAATAAACGACCACATCTGGTTCCCCGCTTGAGCTATATCCCCAAGGGGTATTTAGTTACCGATGCGGTCCATCTCAAAGCTCCCACCGTCATACAGGGAGGTAATATGGGCCATACGGACCCCATCTTTCGATCT